TTTTTTTTTTTTTTTTCTTCAAAAAGATGACCGGTAAGAGGATCTTAACCCTTGACTTGGTGTTGTCAGCACCATGCTCACCCAGTGAGCTAACGAGCCATCCCTATATGGGATCCGAACCCATGGCCTTGGTGTTATCAGCACCACACTCTCCCGAGTGAGCCACGGGCCGGCCCCCCCATTTTAATCTTTTACTCGATAAAATAGTGTTTAAATATGTTAAGAGGGTATTTGAAATATGGTGTTAATGTTTACCACTGTCCTCTGGCTATTAAAAATCCCCAAATTTACAAATACTACTCATAAAGTGCACCATAGTCATTTGAGGTGCCCATTTTCAGTCCCTGTATGCATTACTGTACAATCATTGTGCATAGACCTGTGACGCTCCATTGAGATTCAGGTGCCAAGTGGTCCAATGGGCTATTTAGCCAGGAGATCTGCAAAATCACTAACTGGTCTTGTAGACTTAGGGATCACATCATGCTCTCTGAATTATTACTTCCAAGTCTGAAACATGCAGGTGCCAAGGGTCTCTGATACCTTCACAGGGTGCAGTGAACTTGCACATGGAAGAAGAGGTTGAAGACTTCTTACTCAAGAAGCCCATTGTACCTACTGATGGCAAGCGTGTCATCGTCGTATTCCACTGCGAGTTTTCTTCTGAGAGGGGCCCCCGCATGTGAGTGACATACAGAACTGGGCTCTGGGGCAGAAGCCCCATGATGCTTTTGTGGGCCATGGTGGTGCATGGCTTGAACGTGGAGCATAATTTAGCATATCAAGCATACTCTTGCACATCACAAGTCATTTCCATGCCTCAGCCTACACATGTGACGTGTAATTTCATGGTTTGTAGAAGTGTAAATTCATGAGTAACATGTTTTTCAAAATTCTTGTCCCTTTAGCAGTTGTTTATTCCATGAACAGCTTCCTCGAGTGTAGTTTATAGGCTTGACCTAACAGTTTCAGTTGCAAAGGATTTTCCAGTTTGTCCAGTCCAGTGCTGTCTATGATGCTAGTGTTGCCATGCAGTATCCCCATGGATCTGGCCTCTGCTTCATCACACCCCCTCCTGAGTGGTTCGCTGTTAGTCTTTCCTTTATACTGTGTTAAACTCTGACTCTTCCAGTTTCTCCACTGCCCTTATTTCTACCTGTGGGGCTACTATTCTCATGTGATATTCTTCAATTACAACATGGTTGCTCTTCACGCAAATGCCAGAAAAGTGTGAAGGTCTCACTTGATGTTATTGTGCTTAATGTTATTGCCACCTTAGAGGTGAAAAGAAAAAGGACCAAGCTGGCCATCAGTCATCTGTGATCATTCAAAAGTATTGCAAGCCTGGAGTGTCAGGCACTGTTGAAGCAGTAAAAATACAGCAGTACAGTAAAAATACAGTAAGAGAGCAGGACCGACAAGGACCCTGCTGCAGAGAGGTCCCAGTGGAGAGAGAGATGTGAGATGATCATGACAAGTACTAAGAAAACAGGGACAGGCAGTTAGAGCGAGGTGGGGCAGAGAGTGCAGCTTCAACTAGACTGATCCAAGAGAGACTTCTGACAGGGCCGTGTTTAACTGCAAATACTTGGTCACATTTGCACACACCCAGACTATACACACAACTACAACAGAAACTTCACACATGTGACTGTCTCCCTAAATCCCTCAAGTATCTCTGTGCCAAGAATGAGGACTTTGCCCTGCATTAATACCAAACCATTAGGGCCGAGCCCATGGCGCACTCGGGAGAGTGCGGCGCTGGGAGCGCAGCAGCGCTCCCGCCGTGGGTTCGGATCGTATATAGGGATGACTGGTGCACTCACAGCACTCACTGGCTAAGCGCGGTGCAGCCGATCTCAAAAAAGGACAAAAAAAAAAATACCAAACCATTAACACATGAACAAGTGATGTTCAAGCGAGACCTTAATGTTCATGAATGAAATTATTCACTCAGCAGATACTTGTGCCTCTCATATGCCAGATACTTTTCTAGGTACTGGGGAAAAGAGCAGTGAACTAAATAAACAAAAAATCCTGCCCTCCTGTAACTTACATTTCAGAGTGGACAAGAGGCAGACAAATGTAACATATATGTGAATTGTACAATATGTTAGAAGATGCTTCAGAAAAAAAAAAGGCCCCAGTGGCTGGAGTGGAATGTGTGAGGGGGAGAGTAGCGGGGGGAGGGGTGTGTGTGTGTGACAAACTATAGGCCTATATCAGTCCAGGCATAAGATGCAAGTAGGTACCCTGAGGCAATAACAAGCCCAGCCTGTTTAAAAGCCACAAGAAGAAAGAATCCTAGTTAAAACTCCTATCTAGTAAGTGAGGGAGACTGATTGAAGAGAAAGCTGGGAAAAGTGGCAGGGGAAGCTGGCTCAGAAGTTACTGCTACAGGTGGTGGCCATGAAGACAGTGGGCAGGGGTTAGATTCTAGGGCTGTTTAACTTGGAGGAAAGAAAGTTGGGGAGGCTCAGACATGGTATATGTGCTTGTCTGAGGGGCCAGTGGGGCAAAGCTACCATCTGTGGGATTATGACCAAACGACTCTATATCAGAATCTCCTGCAGGCAGAATAATACACAGCCCTTCAGAGCCTCAGTTGGCCTCAGATAGCCAGTCTCCTGGTGTCCCCACCAGTGGACCACCGTGTGCCAATACCAAGTCAGGTGTGGAGAGCAACTCATCCTGGGAAACAGCAAGTCCGAAAAGAGTCTGCTCCCTCACCCATCATGCAACACATTTTGTGGGGAACCTGGTGCTGAACCATTAATATACAACCTGTTTCTGGGCCAGGTTTCTTATGTAGCAGAGTCAGCCCTCAACACAAGGATTTGTTTTTTTGAAAAAAGCAAAAGTTGGGAAAGAGACAATCTACCGTCACTGGCTGTGAACACTGCTTACGTGGTCAGGAACTTGCAACTCAGCACTGATTGTTTCCAAAAATAAATGTAAGGTTGGGAAGATATGTGTAAGGAGCACTTAAACCACAACACTTTTTACTGCATCGTCTTCTTTATGTTTCTCTTTATTGGAAGAGCTAAGCTTGCTTTGGCCTTTTTTCCCCTCTTCTAGGTGCCGATATGTCAGAGAAAGAGATCGGCTTGGTAATGAATACCCCAAACTCCACTACCCTGAGCTTTATGTCCTGAAAGGGGGATACAAGGAGTTCTTCCTGAAATGCCAGGTAAGAGTGGGTCTCTGGAGAGCATGTTCCCCACTCCCATGTTGTAGCAGTTGATCTATCTTGTGTTTGTTTCTTACCAGGGGTCTGGGGACAAGGTGGGTATCTGCCCTGCACAAAGAGGGTCCCTGTAGAACCCGCTGCCTGGGTCTGCATTGCTGCCCCAGCCTTGTAGCCCTCGGCAGGGAGGGAGCCAGATTGTGAGTCTGAGGCAAGTGTGCCCTAACCTCATCCCCTCCTATCCCCTCAGTCTCACTGTGAGCCCCCCAGCTATCGGCCCATGCACCATGAGGACTTTAAAGAAGACTTGAAGAAGTTCCGCACCAAGAGCAGGACCTGGGCAGGGGAAAGGAGCAAAAGGGAGATGTACAGTCGTCTAAAGAAGCTCTGAAGACAGTGGTGCCAGACAGCAGCAGCCTGAGCATCCCTCCCACTTTCCACTCTTTGCTGCAGAGAAACTTGAGCAAAGAGGCCAGTTGTGTGACATTTGGAGAGAAGGCCTGGCGCTTCCCTGCCTTAAACCTACCTCCTACACTCCCAAGGTTGGAGCCCAGGGCATCCTGCTGGGTGTACCCCTTCTGTCCCTGTAAGACGCCCTCCTTCCACATCAGGACTGTCTGCCAAGGCTGTCACATGTCACAGCACAGTTCTGAGCACCACATCAAGCTGTTCTGACTCATCATCCTCCACAGCTGGATGAAGCAGCAGTTGGGGCCTTACTGGGCTCTGGGCTCACGAGTGGAGGGGAAAGAAAGAGTAGAGAGGAGTAACACAAACAGATATGCTGTTGGCCGAATATCAAAGACAGCCTGGGAAGGAAAGGTCTTTGTGGGATAACCCATATCTTTAACTTATTCAGCTTCATCAATCACTTTATTTTATTTTTTTAAACTCCTGGAGACTTATACTGCTTCATTAGGTCAAAATACTGCCATTCTAGGTAGGATTTTATCATCCCAGGGACTACCCCTGCTTTAAATTTAAAAAAAGAAAAAAAAAAAAAAGAAGGGGTAAGAAAAGGCAAACCTGTTGTGAGTTGTGGAACAGAGCTAGGAGCTCTGTCATCCCCAGGAGGCACTGCGGTACTGGGGCTGCTGCTATTTAAAGCCAGGTATTGAGACAGTGGTGGGAGTGGGCACTGGACTCAGGCTTGGCTACGGAACATAAGCTAAACTTCCCAGACCTACCCGTGGCCATTGAGATCTGTTTGGGCAGAGGAGTGTCCCTGTTCTCCCTCACCCCAGTTCCCTGTGATGTTGGCTGGAATAGGAGTCACAGTCAGGAAAGCACTTCAGGCAGCTTCCATTGGGCCACCCCCAGGTCAGTGTTGGAATGTTGTAGTGTAGGTATCCCAGGGTAGAGGGGTGGGAATGGGTGGGCTCCATAGTAGGTAGGAGGGGCATATCTGAGTGTCCTCCTGTTACTTAAAACTCTTTGATAGCTTTTATTTTGATTTTTAAAAAATAGTCGTTTTTTGAGACAAAGAGTATCAAATCAGTGTTGGACAGGCCACCCAATTTGGGGGAGAGGGGCTAGAAGCCCTGGGCACTAGGAGAAGGGAGTGATTGCTGGTGTAGAGATTGACTGTATAGAATGTTTCTCAGGAGAGAGCATGGTGGATTTTGAAGGTAAAACTTTCTGGGTTTATCATGTTTTAATTTGAGGGGACAGGGAATGATGAATCATCACCAGTTGCCCCCTTATTTAACCCTGTGGAAGCAGGCGTCTCAAAGGAACACCTTCTATCCAAGGAGCTTGAGCTGACTTGATAGATTATAGACAGGCCTGTATTAGTGCCTGCCCATCCCCACCCTCAGGCACCAGCCATCATTGTTCCGTTGGGGTGTGGCCAGGTTTTTCTTATAACAGTCAGTCTCCCCTCTTACCTTGGCTTACTATTCTGGGGGTAGGGAGAGGTATCAGTGATATTGGAGATGACTAGTTGCTGTGTTATGGGTTTGAGTTTTATTTGGCTATAAAACAATCTTGTTGGAAGAAGTATGTGGGGAGTAGGGGAAAGGGAGAAGGGCCTCTTCCCACACACAAAACATCCCGGTTAGTCTCTGGTCTTGTTTGTAGGGATGCTGTTGGTCAAATGCCTTCAGATTGTACCAACTCAGCTAGCATTGCTAACCAACTCTTGCAGGCTCTGAAAATAAAAATAATCTTGAACCTGTGCTGTTTGCCTAGTTCTTGATGGATATAAAGAGAATTGCATTTCTTTTTAAGGTTCTGGGACCACATGTAACTAAAACCAGTTGGAGCAGTCACATTTTCTCAAGAGTCCAAAGTGTTCTCTCATGGCCTGGCTTCAGGGATCACCGGAATGACCTCCAGTTATTTCCTGAGTCCAAACACAAACTTGTGCTTCAGATTGATTCCCAAGAAGAAATGAGTCCATTAAAAACTGCTGGCATTTCCTTACAGTATCCATTAATTCATTTAATGGATAAAGCAACAGGCCAAAGGAGGGACCTTAAAGCTGATAGGAGTTTCAATGGTGTTCTGAAGGAGCCAGATTGAGGATACTACAGAATAAAACAGGACAGATGTTTGTAAGTCCTTGGCCCACTTGGAACTGGAGAAATTCAGAAGTGTGATGCTGGGAGCCATTGGCCAAAATGTAACTGCTGGAGCACAAGTTTTTACAAAATAGAGGGGTCCCTGGGATAGAAGAACTTGTGTTCCTTTCTATACACTATAAATGTTGAAAACTAGTAATTCAAGCATATTTGACAAATTTTAAATCTCACATAAACATAATACTAAGAGCTAAAATATTTCACCCGTGATCCCTCCTGCAGTCAAGAAAACTTCATTTCCACATTGTCTTCCCTTCTAGTTTGCACCTACTTAGAAGCATTATCCCAGCGTTTTTTTGTAGCAGATCCTATCTGCCTGTCCCTTCCTGCTCCCAGGGCCCAGCCCTCTGCTCAAATCCCCATCCTGCTAGGAAGACAAGAAGGAAGCTGACAGCTGCTGGATGGAGCATGTGCAGCATGAGATTCAGCCACTTTCCCTCCTCAGTCAGCCTCTGCCTTTTACATCATTTGTCCTTACTGTGCCGTGGAAGTCCTGTGCCATGTCAAATGAACTTCAGACAGGAAGGGAGAAACAGGGGAGGAGGTAGAAGCCCTCTGAAGTCATAGCTGGAGAAAGGCAGAATTTCCCACCCTTGGTTGCATGTTAGAATCACCTGGGGTCATTTTAAATGTTCCGATGTCCAGGCCACACCCCTGACTTATTACATCAGAATCTTCCAGGGTGGCACCCTGGCACCGGGATTTCTTAAAGCTCCCCAGTGATTCCAACATGCAGCCAGGCTCAGGAACCATGGAGTAAAACCATCCTAAGTCAGATGAAGCCAACGTAGGAGTGGAACAGTGGTGGTTGTGGTGATGAGTGTCCACCATTTACGTAGACAAAGGTGTGTGAGCTTGGGCAAGTCACTTCATCTTTTGGGGGCCTCTATTTCTTCATCTGTGAAGATAATTTATAAGGGCTGAATGAAACAATGATTGTATGGCCTTGGCACAGTGCCTGGCACGTAGAAAACTCCCAGTAATTTTTAGCTATCATTCTATCATTTTAGAGTTTACAACAATATCTTCTATATAATATCTCATAATTACACCGTACTTCCTCAATTCTAGGCATGCATATTTTTTGCATTTTAACATCTTTGAAAGTGAGATGCATCTTGTCACTGATGGTGTCTTACATTCAGTGACATTTAGTAATATAATATTCACCAATAGTGCCAGCACTGTTCTTTTTTTTTTTTTTTAAAAGATGACCGGTAAGGGGATCTTAACCCTCGACTTGGTGTTGTCAGCACCACGCTCAGCCAGTGAGCGAACCGGCCATCCCTATATGGGATCCGAACCCGTGGCCTTGGTGTTATCAGCACCGCACTCTACCAAGTGAGCCACAGGCCGGCCCTGAACCCATGTATTTTTGAGAGAGTACATAGAGAATATGTATAGAGATGGTTTTCAAGTGCATATGAAATTATATATAACTGTACTATTTAGCCATATTACGGTACCTTCCCAAACACAAGACTCCGTATTCCCAATGAGAAAATTCAAAAGCCTTGATTAATTAGACCACATAAACTTTTCTTATAATAGTGGAAATAGCCAAATATTTACTTGTAATTAATATCTGTACATATTTTAAAACAATTTTCAGTTGGAAATGCTGTTTTTTCTCAGTTGCTTTTCATGAACAAAATAAGCTTTTCAACATTTTTTTTTTTTTTTTTTTTTTTTTTTTT